GCTGCTGATTCTGAGATCCAGGCGGTTGGCCCCAAGTGAGATGGAACAGGGAGATCAGAAAATGGTGATTATAACAGCAGCAGCGATGGGTACATGGGTATAGCCAAACATGGTGAAGCCTTAATCTCTAAAGATCTTAGATATTGACAGCTAATTAAAAACAAAACCTTCTAAACACCAGGCAAATGAAACAAAAGGTCCAGCAAGCAGGTCTTGGGCCTCAAGGCCACCCAGGAGCAACCCCTGGTACAGGGCTAAGTTAACTGGGTCATTCCCACTTGGACCACATTCTTAGAAAACCCACAAGGAGGAGACAATGAAACAGAGCAGCTTGCGCTGACCCCCAGGCACTTGCCCTTGACACGCTCTTGTTTGTTCCTTGAAACCAACAGGGAGATTCACTGTACAAGTCCTTGGTACAAGGGAAAAAGTAGTTTGACCAAATTCACACAAAAAAGTAGGAAATAGAATTCAAAATAAGGCCCGCCTGCTATCCTTTTAGAACAGGGCTTTGTAGCTGAGGGGCCTTCTCCACATTCCAGAAATAAAAACAAATTAGTTCTGTTAGAGCACCCCTCACCCAAAGAAAGGCTTTTTACAACTTTGGTTCTCAGGCCCTGAATTAATGCTCTCAACATGGGATATCGCATTGCAGGCTTTGGAGAGGTTGCCACAGGAGCCAGCTCAGTAGTAGTTGGCAGTCACCATATGCCAGGGTGGGCGGCAGAGAAAGGCAAGGGGCAGAGGGACAGAAGAAAGGCAGAGAGGAGAGGGAGACTCGGGCCTCCACCCACCCAGAGCCCCCGATTCCTCACTGAACAACCTCACACAAGAGCCTGTTTCCCACTCTGTAAAATGAGATCACAGCAGTTCCACCCTCATAGGCTTAAATGAAGTCAGTGTGAAACTTGAGAGCACTTTAATCCTGATGAACTTTTGCTGTCTATACGAGAGGAGCTAGATCAATAAATAATGGCCATATAGACCTACTGTGTGCCAGGCACTGTGCTAAGTAAGCACTTTCAACACACTAAGTCACTGTATCCTTGCAACAGTCTTGAAGGACAATCACCCCATGTCTAGTAGGGGAAACCGAGGCTTGGAGAGGTCAAAAACCTGTTCAAAGTCAAAGGTAAATGAAATGGACCGAGCTCTGTAGACACCCACCAGAAGCCTGGGCAATCAAGGAGATGGCCATGCAGAGGGGCCCACGGCCCAAGCCTGGCTGACCCAAAACCAACACCTTTCCACCACAGTGGACAGAGAGCAAAGCGCCAGAGACAAAAAAGTAAATTCTGGCCCTGGCCAGTGTTGCTCAGTGATTGAAGCAGTGGCTCATTCATCAAAGGGTCAAGCGTTCGATTCCCAGCCAGGGGCCCCTTGCCTGGGCTGCGGGTTCGATCATCAGCCCTAGTCAGGGCATGTGTGGGAAGCGACCAATGAATGTGTCTCTCTCAGGGTCATATTTCTCTCTCCCCCTTCCTCCTTTCCACTCTCTCTCTAAAAAAAAAAAAAAAATCAATGGAAAAAATATCCTCACCCAACTGGCCTAGCTCAGTGGTTGAGCATGGACCTATGAACCAGGAGGTCATGGTTCGATTCCAGTCAGGGCACATGCCTGGGTGGCGGGCTCGATCCCCAGTGTGGGGCTTGCAGGAAGCAGCCAATCAATGATTCTCTCTCATCATTGATGTTTCTATCTCTCTATCCCTCCCCCTTCCTCTCTTGCTAAAGAAAAAAAACAAACACACCAATAAAAACATTTAAAAAAAGAAGAAGAAGGAGGAAATGCTAGGAGCAAAACCTCAAGCTTCTGGGAAGGCAGGGGCAGTCAGGGACCCAGCTGGGCTCCCGCCAGCTTGGTGGCCTTGAGCAAACAGAAAGTCCTTTCTGAGCCTCCCTGCTCATCTCTAAAGTGGGGATAAGAGAACCTCTACTCTACTTGCGCATCATAGGAATCAAGATGCTGATTCAAGAAAGAAGTCAGCCTGGCACCTGCTGAATGAATGAACATTATTTCCTAACACTGATAACAATAATAACAGCAATAATAACAACTATGATATCATTTGGCAACCACAGTCACAAATGGAGTCCTCCCTGGAATGGAAATGTGGCCGCCCATCTGGGAGGCAGAAAAGCAAGAGGCTAAAGAAGAAAGAGAGGGGAGAATCAACTGCCTTTAATGACCTCAGGACCGTTTCTCATTCATTAGCTTCCTGAATCCCTGAAACAGCCCAGAGAGTAGAATTTGCCCACTAGACAGATGGGCAAACTGATGCTTTAGGGCTACCCAAGGAAGACCTTATCCCAGCTCTTGCCATGAGGGCCTGATCAGACACGAAGTACCTTTTGTCCTGGCCAGTATGACTCCATGGTGGGAGCATCGGCCAGCACACCAAAGGGCCACAGGTTCGATTCCCAGTCAAGGGCATGTACCTGCGTTGTGGGTTCAATCCTCCGCCCAGTAGGGGAGGGTTCAGGAGGCAACCAATCAGTGTGTTTCTCTCTCTTCCTTCCCTTCCACTCTCTCTAAAAACCAATGGAAAAAATATCCTCTGATGAGGATTAGTGACAAAAAGGAAAAGAAGGAAAAAAAAGTCCCTTCCCAGGCTCCAAGAGAGCCCGCAATTGGCAGGCTTTAGCTTGGGGGCTGGTCCCTGTCTTCCAGGGCCCTGTAAATCCTGACATGGTCCAGGAAAGAATCCTGTAGAAAGTTCCCCCTGGGGTCCTATTACTTCCAACTGCAAAGAGAGCAGTTCAAGTCTCATACTTCACCACCCTTCTTTTCCTATGCTCCCATCACCCCCTGCCACAGAGCTTGAACCGGACACTCAGGGGCTGTTAGGGCACTTGGGCAGACTAGTCACTAGGAGGAAAGACAAAAAGATGAACTTGGAAGAGAGGAGCTAGTGTTTTCCAGGCACCAAGCTGAAGAGTCAGTCCGAGAGCCAGACAACAGGGTTCCCTAGGGTCCAAACAACCAGTCAGACACAGAGGTCAGCTGGGGTAACTCACCAGCGGGATGGCTGTTAGTCTGTGAGGGGCACGGATGGGCGGCCAGACGGCACAGGTGACCCTGGACAGCTAGCTAGACAGCAGGGAGCTGCCCTGCAGAACTGGACAGATGGACAGCCAAATGGTGGTAGCAGGGAGGCCTATCCAGGATAGAATCAGCCAACCGGACGGCAGTGACTGCTCCGGATAAATGGACAGCCAGCCAGACGACAGGGGTCGGCCCAGCAGAGATCGAGGTGGCACGTTTCGGACAGAGATGGGAGACCTCCCCCTGCCCCACTAGCAACCAGATGGCAGAATTCACCCACTAAACCTGGGGACCAGAGAGTCAACGGGGGTCCACCGCACATCCCGGCCCACGCCTCCCAGCCTGTAAGACTCCCCTTGGGCCGGGGCCGGCCCCCCAGCCCCTGCAAGGCGCCCTAAGCTCACAGTGTCCCACAGGGCCCGCCTCCCTGCCCCTGACCCCGTCACGGGCACGCAAGCGCCGCAGTTACGCTGGA